CTTGGGCAGTCCTTCCTTTCTTCCTACCCCCACTACCATGCTTGTTAAATCAGAGGGTTGCAAGGATTCCTAGGGAAGCTGGGTTTGCAGGAGGACTGGTGACTTGGTGCGGCTCTTTCCACAGACTCGGACCTCTGCCTTAAGTTCGCCATGCTGTGCACTCTTAATGACAAGTGTGACCGGCTGCGCAAGGCCTATGGGGAGGCCTGCTCCTCGGGGCCCCACTGCCGGCGCTCCACCTGCCTCCAGCAGCTCCGTGCTTTCTTCGAGAAGGCATCAGAGCCCCACGCGCAGGGCCTGCTGCTGTGCCCCTGTGCGCTTTTTTTCGGACCGGCTGTGCAGGTGTGGGGGCTGGGTGCGGGTGGGCAGGATCTATAAGGACACAGTGCACCATTCCCTCCAGGCCGCCTTGGGGCGGTGCTGGGTCTGACTCCCCAGGGGCTGTGCACTGACTTAACAATGTAGCTATCCTTCAAAATTTTATGAAACTCGTTTCTCAAAAAGAATATATAGTATTTTATTTGTGTAAATACTTCAGAAAATATAAAAACGTATAAAAATACCACTCAAATGGACAGAGACAACAGGGGGGTGAGGGCATGAGTGGGGGGAGGGAAGGGGGTAATGTGGGGATAAGGACACATATGTAATAACTTAATCAATAAAGAAATTAAAAAAATAAAAATACCACTCAAAATCTATATCACCTGAAGTTAATCTGCCATACTTTGGTGAGCATTTCCTTTTAGTCCTTTTTGTATATAGATAAATAAAATTTGATATTCTGAGAATATGTTTATATCTTGTATCTTCTTCTCATTTATGGTACATATCTTATGAGCATTTTCTGGTGGAGGCAGTATGGAATAGTGGTGAAGACAGGCTCTGAAGTCAGACAGATCTAAATTTAAGTTGTGGGTCTGTGTGACCTTGAGCCAATCACTTAACCTCACATTCCATCACTTAATCCAGGTTTCCACTTAGTCCTCTGTAAAAACCGAGATAACTCGTAGGAGTTTGGTGAGAGTTAAAGTACATCATTTATGTACAGTGCTTAAGTTGCTGGTGCAAAGTAAGTGCTCAATAAATGGCAATGCTTATTTTGTCATTTACTGTCCTTTGACAACTTGACTTTTTTCTTTTTCTTTTTTTGTTTTGTTAATCCTCACCCAAGGATTTTTTTCCCCATTGATTTTTAGAGAGAGTAAAAGGGAGGGAGGAAAGAGGGAAGGAGAGAGAGAGCCCATTGATTTTTAGAGAGAGTAAAAGGGAGGGAGGGAAGAGGGAAGGAGAGAGACAGACAGACAGACAGACAGACACATTGGTTGCCTTCTGCACTCGCCCAGACCAGGGCCCGGGATCGAACCTGCAACCCAGGTACTGCCCTTGAGCAGAAATGAACCTCTGGCCGACACTCTAACTACTGAGCCAAACCGGCCAGGGCAACCACTTGGTTTTTAAGAGCCTACATCTTACTCCATTTTATGGATGCCCTGTATTTTATTTAATCATTTTTTATTGTTGGATATTTAGGATGTTTTCTAAATAATGCTGCATAAGTATCACTCTTATTTATTAATCTTTGTACACAAATCTAATTATTGGTTAGGATGTATTGCTACAAGTACCATTACTGAATCAAAGGGTATGAAGATTTGAAAGGTGTTTGGTACATATTATTCAGCCAAATTCTGATCTGGCTTTCCTCTGCCTTCTCAGGAAAACACTCACCAAAATGTAGTTATCATCCATTCAAGTGACATTTGTTGACAATGGAGTCACATCAAGTCACACTTCTCTGTAACCTTGGGCAAGTAGTTTAGCCTCTGAGTCCCACTTTCCTCTTCTGCAAATATTACATAGTCAGAGCTCTCAATAGTTATAACACTAGCACTTACTGAGTACTGACTGTGGGCTAGGCACTGTTTTAATACTTACCATGTGTTAATTAACTCATCTAAACCTAACAAGAACTCTGTAAGATAGATGCTGGTTTGTTTGTGTGGTTGGTTTGTTTTTTTATCAGCCTCAGTTTACAAATGAAGAAGCCACAGCAGAGAAAGGTTAAAGGACATGGTCAAGTTCACCCAGGTAGTAAGTCAGGTTTGTTAATAAGGTTTGGAATGAAGTCTGGCCTAGAGTCTGTGCTCCTAACTTCTCTGCCATACTGCCTGTTATTGTGTTGGTAGCTAGTACTGATACATAACAAGTGCTGGCCTAGATGATAAAGGTATCATTCTTTTCTTTTTTTAAATTTTTATACATTTTATCCTTAAAGGAAACTCTTGAATTTTCTTTCTTCCAGATCACGCCTGGCCGATTTTCAGACCCATTGTCATCCCATGGACATCCTAGGGACCTGTGCTACAGAACAGTCCAGATGTCTGCAAGCATACATGGGGCTGATTGGTGAGGCTAGGGGATATAGAATGGCCTTGGGGTGAGAATGCTCTGGCTACTGAACCCAGATGGAGTGCTCCTGAGATTGGTGAGAGAGGGTGGGAGCTGAAGTTGGAGTTGGCCTAGGCTCTGACAATCCCCTCTTTACCCCACAGGAACTGCCATGACCCCCAACTTCATCAGCAACGTCAATACCAGTGTTGCCTTAAGCTGTACCTGCCGAGGCAGTGGCAATATGCAGGAGGAGTGTGAGCGGTTGGAAGAGCTGTTTTCCCACAACCCCTGCCTCAGTGAGTGTTCCCTCTGCTCCCTCCCCAGTGGCCAGGTCATCTGGACCCAGGGGGAGGAAAAGGATCAACTCTGTCTGTCTCCTGCAGGCCAAGCGGCCCCCTCCTCAAAATAGATTTACGTCCCCCAGCCTGGGCCTGTCTTCCTTCTCCTGCTCCCTGAGTGACCTCTAGGCTTCCTGTTTAACCTGTCTGGGCCCCAGGGACACTACACCTCTTTCTTGATGCTGTCCTTTCCTCACTTCTACCCTCCTATATCCCAGGGTCCCAGAGATATTCCATTTCCTTCCTTGGGAGCCTAAAGAGCCAACAACTCTCCGCTTCTAAACTATCTTCTCTGTTCTCCTCAGTGGAGGCTATTGCAGTTAAGATGCGTTTGCACAGCCAGCTCTTCTCCCAGGACTGGGCAGACTCTACCTTACCTGTGATGGAACGCCAGGTAGGGCCTCTTCTATTACACTCCTCATACCTTTACTGAATCATCTGGGAGAATCCCAGACAAGGCAGACAGGGGGATGGAGGGGGTAACCTCCTTGTTATCACAAATAGTCTAGAGTCTCTAGACCTCTAATGGACACCTTAGGTGAAGGGGACAGGCCTTGACTGAGGCCGAGGTAGTGAAGGGGGTAGAGCTAACTCCATTGCATTTCTTCCACAGAACAAAAACCTTGCTTTGAGGCCACAGCCATGGATGCCCTCTCTTTTGTCCTGCACACTTACCTTGATTCTGCTCCCAAGTTTCTGATAGCTGGACATCCCTGGGGGCCCTCTTCCCCTCCACTACACCCAGCCTGACCTGCCGCCTGCAAGAAATGAGGAAAGGACAGCATCCAGAAGGAGGTGCAGTACACAACATGACCACCCTGACATCCCCACCACTGCACATCCCCACAGTAGAAGCTGACTGGCTAAGTTCTCATTCCCTCCACTGCTGCCTCAGGCCACCCCTCCTTAGGAATTGGTCACCATGGTTTAGCCATATCTTGTGGTGGTGGCTGGCTCTACTAAGCTCCCTCCTGATCCCTTCCTACCAGGATCATCAGGGTTGAACAAATCAGTCAGTTGCTATTGCATTCTCCAGGTAGTCAGGGCTGGGTGTTCTGAGGCAGCATAGAAACACAGTCCCCGTTGTTAGGAAGGCCAAAGCAAGAATCCTGCTCCCATGTCTCCTCATCTGAACAGAGGATGGGAACCTGCTGCCTGCCCTGCCCTGGAATCCTGCAGAGCATTTGAGCATCAGGAGCTGGAGTATTTAGGCCTTGATTTCCTCCTGCTATTGTCCCAAAGTCCTCCCAGCCTCTTGAATCATGATTAAACATTTTGACTTAAAACTTTGCTCTTTTTCCATTTTCACACATTGTGAATTTATACAGAACTTGAGATTTTACAGACAGAGGAGCACAGACCAGTGATCAGGAGACATATCAACTCTGCCACCAACTGCTGTGTGACCTTAGGCAAGTCTCTCAGCCTCTCTGTGTACTTGACATAGAGTTGGAAGAAGAAGAAAAAATAGCTTATGTGAGGCTGTGGATCTGTATCTGCCTAAGCTCCCGCCATTCCTGGGATCTGTCATAGCAGCTTAGAGGGGAGGGTCCTTAGTCAACCACAGTATTTATTGAGCACCTGCTTGTGTTATTGGTCTGCTCCACAGTCTAATGGGGCTTGAGAAAGGGGAGACTGGTACTTGACCTAATTAACAACCCTGTTGGGATAAGGAAACAGCCACCTATGCAAAGTAGTTGGAAGAATATATTTACAGAGCTGTGGACATTTTTCTGTTAACTCATTCACTCACCCTTTCCATGAGCACCTAATGAGTGCTGGCTGCAAGGCACTGTGCTAAGTGCAGGAGATTCCAAGGTAATAATACTCAGATCCTGTTTTCAAGCCTTTCACAAGGCAGGGGAATAGACAAGACAGTCCCACTCAAAAATGCAGTGTGGTAAGTGCTGTGCAATAATCATAATGATAACCTCAGTTATTGAACCCCTCCTGTGTGCAAGTACATGTATTAGTTATTTTGATCCTCCAACAACACTTGATTTTGTCAGTCTTATAACTATGTGACCTTGGGCTTAACCTCTCTGGGCTTTATTATCCACATCTGTAACATGGGAGAAGCCTAAAATCTACCTCATAAGAAATGAGATAAGCCATGTAAAAACATTGTGACTGACACAAAGTAAGAACTCAAAAGAGTTAGCAATTATAGTATAAGGTTTTTGTAGAGAATTCGGGTGGTATAAATAACTACCAAGAAGAAATTAAAAACCTTTAAAATCTCACTGTCAAACTTCCAAATCTGCTCCCTACACATCTGTGCACATGATAATCTATGGGTATGTATAATTTTTACATAAGGGGAGGCAGACACTGCATATCAAAGTGTAAGTCAATCTTTCAGCATCCATGAGTAGAGCTTGGTCTACATCACCCTTTTTATCAGCTGTAGAACATGGACTTGTATGAATTTATATTTCTACATATATAGTTTATTTAATGAGTTCTGTATTAATAGATATTTGCTTGTTTTCCTATTTTTTTCTCCACCCAAATTTTAAGGCAATTTGGGGGTAAGATGTGCAGAGGGGCTGCAGAGTGGTGAGTAGAGTAGGAAAACCTCTCCCCATACATTCTTGTATCACCATCGGCCACCCACCCGTCCCCAGGAAATATCCAAACAACCTTCCTCCCTGCAAACTCCAGTGGGACACTGGCTGGACCTTCCCCTTCTTCCCCTCCCAGGAAGATCTCTGAGCTGTCAAGGCCTCTCCATTTGCTTTGGCTCCATTAGCCTAGGGCTGGGGTGTGAATGGTACAGTCATTCCTTGCTAAGTGCTTGAATTAGACTAATAGGTCATCTGTGCTTTTCTCTGAAGAAGGTCCAAATTCCTGGTAAACAACCAGATCACTCTCCCAGCCCAGGGCCCACAGCCAAGACCGGGGGGGGCGGGGGTGGGGCACAGTGACTGGGCTGAAGCTTTTAATGGTATCCTGGCTGGCTGGTATGGTTAATGCCATTAGACTAGCTCCTGGGTAACGAGGTGGGAAGAGCTGCTGGCAGCAGTGATAAATGGAGAGTACTGAATTGTAGACCTCAGCATGTTTGGAGTGAAGCACACTGTCTTTTAAACAACTATCTTCAAATTCACTCATTCAGTCAGTCAGTCAGTCAACGAACCTTTAACAAGTACTTGTTCTGTGCCAGGCTGTATTTTTCAAGATCTGTCCTTACCCATTCATAAGCTACCATTTCAGCGAAGGGGCAGCCTAGGACTCTGGCAGCTGGGCCTCAAGTTTGGGCGGCTGAGGCTCTTTATCCTGGTTGATTATAACATTCAGCTGTTTGACCTTGGGAAATATTCTTTACTCCTCTGAGCCACTATTTCCTCATCTACAGTGGAGATGCCAATGGAAATACCTAACTTAAAGGTTTTGCTTTTTTTTTTTTTTAATACATACAACATTAGTAATTTAATTTTAGCTAAAAAACTAATTGGCAGCCCTAGCTGGTTTGGGGGCACATGCCCAGGCTGTGGGCTTGATCCCCAGTAGGGAGTGTGCAGGAGGCAGCCGGTCAGTGATTCTCATCATTGATATTTCTATCTCTCTCCCTCTCACTTTCTTTCTGAAATCAATAAAAAAAATATTTAAAAAAAACTAATTGGCAATATCAACTAATGTTTATATCAATTTTAATGGTTTGGGTTGGCAATCTTTTGGCTTCTTATTGCTATAAAAGCTTAATAAGCATGAGGAATTTATGCTTGTTTTGATCTCCATAAAAATATTTAAAACCAATCAGAGTTGTTTTGAGGACTGGAAATAATTATAACACTTAGCATAGTGCCTGATACAGCATGAAGACTCAATCAGTGACAGCTATTACTGTTATTTCTAGGAGAGGATCTGTGGGTACCATGTATTCCACTCCCTGCACTGGAACGATGGTGAGTGATGGTGCTGGCTCTCCCTCCAAATGGGCTGAATTCTGGGAGATTCACTATTCAAGGTCTGAACTCCAGGATGAAGCCAGAGCTCTGGGTCTGTAGCTCAGGCCCTGAGGGACCTTGCACAAGCCATGGACTCAAAGGAAAGGCTTTAATCAAGGGTCTTTTAGCTGCAAGTAACAGAAACATTGGAATTACTTGGTAAAAGGGGAGTGTCATGCAACCCAATCCCAGGAGTACAGCTAGGCCTTAGGGGATCTGGAACTGGCAAGCTAGGAACCAGTTTTGAGCCCTATGTATTGAAGACCTAGACATCATGGACCATCTACTTCATTCTCTCTGCAGACCTACTTCTGCATGACATTCCAGGTCCAGCAACTTCAGCTACATGACCTCCTATCCCAATTTCAAACTCATGGAAAATCTGATTGCCCATGCACAGGTTCTAGATTGGCTTTTCTGGATCGAGGGTCCATCTCAGGCCTATCAGCTGGGTAAAGAAACTAGTTCCATGTGCTAGCAAAGTGATTACAGGATCCCAGGCCTAATATTGGAGGGCAGTTCTCAGAGAAGTCAGTGGGGCTCACTAGTATCCCCAAAGGCATAGACTCTTGTCAGGGAATTGGGGTGAATCTTAATCACCTGAGTTCCAGATTTGCTCTTGTGTTTTCCTCCCTGACCTAGAAGTGACTTTTCTGAGCTTCCTTCTTGGATGCCCTGAAGGGAGGGGAATGTAGAAACACAGGGCATGTACTGCAGCTCCTTTGGGTCTGAGAATCACTCTGGGAGGTAGATCTGAGGGATTCTTTATGGCTGCAGAAGGAGGCTTTGCTGCCGTGGGGCTTGCTAGATTTCTGATCCTTGCAGTTGAAGAAGAAGCAAAGTGAAGACAACCAGAATATGCCACCTGCTCTAGCTGATTTGGCTCAGTGGGTAGAGCATCAGCCTGGGGACCGAAGGGGCCCGGGTTCGATTCCGGTCAAGGGCACATGCCTAGGTTGCAGGCTCAGTCCCCAGTAGGGGGCGTGCAGGAGGCAGCTAATCAATTATCCTCTCTCATCATTGATGTTTCTATCTCTCTCTTCCCTCTCCCTTCCTGTCTGAAATCAATAAAAATATGTTGAAAAAATATGCCATCCCAAAATATGCCACTTTGGCATAAGGATTGTTTTTACTTGAAGGCAGTTGAGAATCAACAGAGGCAGGAAGAATTCTCTGCTACCCCTTATCTGCCTGAAAGCAGGGCATAACTGAAGACAGAGTCAACACCAAGATGAATTTGCATAAGCGGACATTACTTAAATAGCCCCTATCTCCCATTAGTTTCCCCATATATTTCCTAGTCACCCCCACAATTTATTGTCCCTTGGACTCCTTGTTAAAAGGATATACTGTATAAGGCTCCAATCTAACCCCGAGTCTTGTTTAAGTTTTACTTATTTTCTACAGGTAAATATTAATAAAAATTATGCCTTTTCTCCCATTAATCTGTCTTTTGTTAGCTTAATTCACATGCCTCTAGTTCTAAGAGGGTAGAAGACAAAGTTTTTCCTCCACGACAAAAGCATTGCCAATATCCTTGTCTAATAATCCTTCATCTTTGCCTCTACGTCCCCTCTGACCAACAGCCCTAGGCTCTCACCCTCATTCCTCTCTTGCGATCTCTGGTGCTTGGAAATTCCAGTCTCTTTTCAGCATCTCTGCTTCTCTCAGAAGGAAGCCTATTCACATCTGGAAGCTGGAAGACTGGTTACAATAAAATTCCACCTTCAGATATTGAGCTGGTCATGGCCTTAA